ATTGCACAAATGAAATTCAAAGACCTAAAAGCCCTTATTCAAGAATGTGTAGTCCAGGCAATCCAACAAACAACAGAATCCACCTTACCAGCACTAATCAAGAAAGAAATAGAGCCCATTCAGGAGAAAATGGAAGAAATCTCTAATCAAATAAAGAATGAAACAGAGCAAATCAAAAAACAAATTTCAAAAAATAAGCTGGAAATAACAAATATTAAAACAACCACAAATAAACTAAAAGAAAATGTCCAAGACATAAATCAAGAATTACAAGAGCTAAAAGTAAAAAGTGATAAAATGGAGGAAACACTAATCAATTTTGAAATGGATAAAGCTGACTTAATAATAAGCTGCCAAAATATAACTGAAGAAATCAATAAAAATTTACAGGAAGACTTAGCCCATGACATAGTGGACCAACTAAAAGTAGGAGCGAACGAGGACTTGTTAGCAGAAATAGATACTGTATATAGGAGAAACTCGGCATATGCAAAAAGAAATGAGACACCAAGAGGGGTGCACATAAAATGTTATAAAAAAGAAACTAGAGATAAAATCTTAAAAGCTTCTAATGAAAACAAAATGGTGATAAAAGAAACAAAGATTAGATTTCTAAAGGAGGTGCCATGGAGAGTTCACAAGAAAAGGTGGAATTATAATAACTTGACTAATCTTCTGAGAGAAAATGATATATCATGCAGATTGTTAATACCAGAAGGGTTATTGTTTAACCATAACGGCAGAAGACAAATAATAGACTCTGTCTTTAAAGTGGAAAACTTCCTGGAGAGATATGGAGAGGACTTGGGTTGGCAACAAGAAGAAGAGAAAGAAGGAGAAAAAGGAGAAGAGGAGACAGATACAGAAGACAATAGTCTCATGCTTGAAAAACAGAAATCCAAAAAACCCAAGTATAAAAAAGGAAAGGGACCCAAAAAAATAATTCCATCACAAATAGTCACCAGATTCCAACAAGGGAGTAAAAACACATATAACACTAATACAAATGATGGCATCTAAACAATTTAAAATCCTATCAATTAATGTTAATGGACTGAATAGTCCTCAAAAAAGAAGATGAATCTTCCACCAAATAGCAAAATACCATATAGACATAACATGCCTTCAAGAAACCCATATTTAAAAAAATGATACAAAACATCTGATTAACAAAAAAAAAATAGGAGAACACTTTATAGCAGCAGATGATAAAAAGAAAAGAGGGGTAGTAATCTACATAAATAACTTTTTGAATCCGGAATTATTTTATAGATCAGATGATGGAAAAATAGTGGCTGTTACAATAATGAGAGATGGGAAAGAAATGGTAATTATTAACATATATGCTCCCAATCAAAACCAAGAAAAATTCTTTATAGTATTACATAATATATTGGCTAGGAAGACCGTTGAAGATATATGCATATTAGGTGACTATAATACAGTTTTTGACCCGAAAGTTGACATTATACTCAAGACTTTAAAAGGATTGTGGCAAACTTTTTCAAACATTTATACCAACACAAGACCCAGGAGGAGAGACAACAAATAGAAAAGTTTCTATCACAAAACAATTATAAGAAATTTAATGAAACACAAAAGAAATTCTTAAATGAAACAATATTACCCTGTGACATGACAGAGGCAATTAAGAAACAGAAAAAGAAAAAATCTCCAGGTCTGGATGGTTTACCAGTAGAAATCTATCAAGAATTTGAGGAACAGATATTTTTGCCATTTAAAGAGTTATTACAAAACATAACTAAAATAGGAAAGATCCCGGAGTCATGGAACAAAGCCCTCATCACGTTAATACATAACCAAGAACAGATGAAAAAGAGATTAAGAATTATCGACCCATTTCATTGTTGAATGCAGATTATAAAATATTTGTGAACATACTACCATCAAGACTAAAAAAAAGTATTATCCCAGAACATTCATCAAGACCAAGCTGGCTTCCTTCTGAAAAGACAGATTAAAAAATAACATAAGAACCATCATTAATGTTTTAGAATGAAATGCACTCAGAGAAGCAATTGGCTTTAGTTTTCTTGGATGGAGAAAAGGCATTTGACAATGCCTCTTGGGAATTTATGATACAAAAATTGTAAGTATGGGATTGTGGACCATGTTTTCTTTTGATTGCAGCAATATATAAGAAACAATACACAAAAGTTATGATTAATGGGGACATGACAGAAAATATAGAAATACAGAAGGGAACAAGACAAGGATGCCCCTTATCCCCGCTATTATTTATTTTTACGTTAGAATCGTTAAACGACCTGGTAAGAGTTAATGAACAAATAAGAGGATTGAAAGTAAAAGGGGAGGAATTTTAGCTTCAAGCATTCGTCGACGATCTTGTGTTTATATTAGAAGACCCTTTATTATCTATTACACCTTTATTGGATACAATTCAAAAATATGGGGAAGTAGCGGGACTTAAAATAAACCTTAAAAAAACAAAAATACTAACTAAAAATTGTACTCAAGAAGTAAAAGGTGAGATTTATAATACATTTTTTCCCTAGTTTCTGCTATTCTTTAAGTGGAGATACCAGGGATGGAACCTGGAACTAATAGAAACAGCGCATTAATGGAAAATAATTATAAAAAACTATTAGAAGAAATGTTAAAAGATCAACTGAAATGGAAAAATATCCAGCTCTCGTTATTGGGCAGAATAGCCACTATAAAAATGAACGTACTCCCTCGATTTCTATTTTTAGCTCAAACTATACCAATTTTGAAGAAAAAACAGCTTTTTGAGGAACTTGATAGATTCATTAGGCAATTTATTTGGCATCCCAAAAAAGCACAATTAAATGGAAATATTTACAGGATAAAAAAGAAAGAGGTGAATTTGGGCTACCTAATTGTGATTTTTATTATCAAGCAGCCGCTGCAGTTTGGATTAAAAGTTGGTTAATGCTAGAAGATAGAAGAACTTTACATTTGGAAGGCCACGATCTTAAAATGGGTTGGCATGCTTATGTTTGGTATAACAAAGATAAAATACACTCGAACTTCCATCAACACACATTAAGAAGTACTTTGTTAAAATGTTGGCTAAACCTAAAAGAAAAATATTATATGAAAACCCCTAGATGGGTATCCCCTCTAGAAGCATTTATTAAACCCACCTTGTTGACGGAAAACAAGAAGGAACCATATGAGAAGTTATTAGACAAAAATAACAAACTAAAAAGTTTTGAATCATTACAATCACTAATCATAAACCTGACATGGTGGGAAAATACACAATTGAAATATATATATATAATAAACAAAACTTTAGGTTTGTACACAGCAAATAATGAATTAGACAAGATTTGGCTTTCATCCAACAATAAGATGATTCAAAAGATATATAAATTTTTGTTGGAAAACTATACGCAGGACGATGTTGTCAAACTTTCTATGACAACAGGGATGCAAGATATAGGGTATAGTTTAGATTTCGATGATTGGGCCAAAATATGGAAAACTACGAGGTTTCTTAGATCAACATCATTTAAAGAAAATGTATACAAAATGTTTCATAGGTGGTACTGGTCACCAGATAGAATTGCTTAATGCACAGTCACGATGTCTAAAAACTGTTGGAAATGTAAGACTAACATTGGAACCTTTTTTCATATGTGGTGGAAATGTGGTAAAATGCAAAACATTTGGAGATCTATTGAAAAGATAATATTAGAAATATCGAATGTTAACCTTAACATTACCAGAAATATATCTATTAAATATAATTCCAGATTGTTATGAGCCAGAAGATAGATACTTGTTAACATATATTTTAACTTCCTCAAGAATACTGATAGCCCGTTATTGGAAAACGGACAGACTACCCTCTAGACAGGAAATAGTTTGGAAATTGCTGGATACCGCAGAAATGGACAAATTAACTGTGTTAATTCATGGAAAAGATGAAACTTTCCAAAAGAGATGGTTAAGAGTATACAAATGGTGGGGAAATAACCTTAAGTAAAAGACTCCGAATATATAAACCAATTTGTATGTATTTGGCTGTATAATATAACTCTATAAATAAAATATTTTTTAAAAAGAGAATGCAGACTGAACTCGAAGCCTCAAAAGTAGGCCTGGATACTCACATCCACAGCACTACAACAGCAGCAGAAGTTATGAGGAAGGACTCACAGTTGGGCTGGGCAAAATTAAATATTACACTTTCACCAACATGCTCCAAGCCAATCTCATCAGCCAACAGTAGCCTATAAACCTTAATACACACAGTACTCAGAAGAATATTACAAGAGCATTCTCACACTAGATATTCAAATTAAACAGTGGCACCTTAAACTCCTGTTTAATTTTGCTAAAACAGATTAACCACCAACCAAATGTCTCAGCAATGACAGGATCCTACTTCAGCCATAAATGTCTCCCCAAACTCATCTCGGACACATTAAAGGAGTAAAGAGGATAATATCCTGTTGTAATGATTCTAGGCTCCAGTGCACAGCATGACCACACTCTGGTACAAGAACCTTAAGGCCAGATCATAAACATACAACCTCCTTCAGAAGAAGTGTGCATGCAAACAAATGCTTATACCCAGAATAAAACTTTGTTGGTCTTAAATGTGCCACTGGACTCAAACTTTGTTCTTTAACCGATTTCCAAATCAGTGTTCGCAGGACTATAGTCTAGATTTGGTTCCTAAAAGTGTAGCCACTTAAAAGTACAGCCACAGACCTTGCTTCCAAATAAATGTGTTAAGGACTGAGGTGCCAGTCCCTAGCCTCTGCTATTTAACACACACCAACAACAGGCTAAAGAGTTAAATCCCATGTTTTTTTAGGGTAACCCTCCCCCATCACTCAGACATCCAGAGTTTAATCACCAAATGTACAACATGCAAAGTGTGTGCTGTCAAGCTGACTCAAAGCAACCTCACAAAGTCCCACCTCATGGCGCTTTCAAGACAAGAGATGAGTCAAGGTGCCATTGCCTTCCTTTGTATAGCAGCCTCAGTCTTCCTTGGTAGCCTCCCATGCACATACCCATATTGTGCCTGTTTTTCTTCTGAGGTCATTTCTGAATGGGGAAATGTGGAGAAGGAAAAATTAAACATCCCCTTTATGTGCATCATGGCCCCTACATATATTGAGACCTATCGTAATTACTTTTTAGAGCCAAAACACACGATGAGACTCTCAGTCATGGAACTCCAGTGTCACATACTGTTTGACCCTTACAATGAAGACTCATGTAGAGTTGACCTTTAAAATGGTGTACCTGTAAAGAGAATACTCCTAAATAGGAAAATGTAAGAGCAACAGCTCTGCTCACATAGTAGTCCTCATGTACTCACAGATGAATGGGACTACATATTTGTAAACAACTTCTTCTACTGTTGCCATACTTTTGGGAAATCGGCAAGGGACGCCCAACACAAGCACAGTCCATTAATTAAGCTTGAAACTGGTTGACCAGGATTCTTGTCTTATCTGTGCTAAAGACTCACTGTATAGACTTGGGAAGCCACTATCAACTACTTAATATGTGAAGGGGTTTTTTTGTGTGATAATAATTCCACACTGGAAAAAGCAAGTACAAGACATGTCCTGTGTCCCATGTGAAAAGTTTTGCTGCAAGTTAATGCAACTAGTATATTAACTTCCTAACATACATAGCTGTTGTAACTAGCAATCTCTTCTTGCATGATGGTGTACACAGTTTTTCTTAGATGGAAATTACTCCCATGTAAGTAAAATGCCTCAAGTGAACAGGTCGTCTCAACCTCAGCGTCCCAGTAATGGGAAATGTTCTGCAGCAGAAAAGTAAATCAGCAGTCCCATATCTATGTAGCAGCCTAACACAAGTGCAAGAATTCAAATTCTTTCAACCCAATCATAAAATGTCTGAGTCTCAGAAGGCTTCGGTCACACACTGTAGCTTGTAGTTTTCAACCATATTCCTGGCTTTCAGGACAGAAAGATGAACAGCTGCATGATGCATTCATAAGCAGGGACAGAGACTCATTTACATGGTTGGGGGCAGGGTGGTAGGGTGAAAATCAGCTCTCTGTTCATTAAAGCTATGAGCTATCAAGTACCCTTTTGGGCATTCGCATTACCAACGACAAGGCTGCTGGCCTTTTAAATCAAAATATGAATTCTGCCCCAGGTAGTATTGTTTGAATAAACCGAATGACAAATGGCAGAAACATTTGTTTCTACAGAGAACTAGACAGTTACTTATTTCCTGCTACTCATATTCAACTTTTCAAAAATACCACCACCCAACCCTATCTTCTAAGCTAGGGGCATATTTTTCTCAAGTGATTCATCTTGCTTATCTTCTAAACAAATGATTCATATTTCACTTACTACACTAGCTTCTCGTTTGCCTCTTTTTATGCCACATCCTAAAGCTTATTTACTCTTTCCTAGCCTATATCTATATATGTTAAGCCTGAACACACCAATCTAATTTGATTTGTTAATGATTTAATCAAAAGCCATGAATAGGCATGCATTCCATTGGATTAAAATGAGAGAAATTCATAACACAGCAGAGACTCTGGGGTGGATATACAGGTACATGTACATCGCACTGGAGCTCTTCATTGCTGTCCTTTTATTAAAAGCAGATATCCAGCACTCCAAGATGACTCCAGCTGTGTTGGCTTAAATCTATGCAATGTAAATTAAGACAATTTATATCAGTGAACCACAGAAGTCTGATTTAAATCAATCTTCCCATTTTGAAATTCATGGGTTTTCTGCATGAAGTCTGCATCTTCTCTGGTATTTCAAAACTAAACGTATCAGTTAGCAACTGTATAAACTGAGCTGTATCTGTCCTACCAAGGAGAATAATCCAAACCTCTAGTTATGCAGCTGAAAGGCACTATGGAATTATATATCTCCTTAGAGACTAGTTGTGTGTGGGTGAGAGTGTGAAATCAATTAATGAATTTGCCTGAAGAGATCACTTTAAAACAAAGGCCACAATTTAGTGCCATATTGCGTATGCAAGACAGTGATACAAGTCTCCAAAATTTTCCATAAGTAATGGCTGTAATCACCAGCAACATAAAGAAAATGTGTATGGTGTTTGGCTGAATACAGTACATGTCCTATTGTATTACATTTGCAATGCATGATCATAGAAGACAGATATTTTTACACTGAAAAGAAGTTTTTAATTCAGATGTGCAGAACTTAACATCTTTGTATTAAATTCAGATTCCAAATTAAACCAAAATATTTTTAAAAGCAATGCCTGAATATCTGAGTCTTTTTAAAAAAAACACCTGCATTAATAATTGAAAGGAATGATTAGAGTGTTGGACCAGGATCTGGGAGACCCTGGTTTGAATCTCCACTCTGCCATGAAAGCCTGCTTGGTGATCTCAGGCCAGTCACAAACTCTCAGTCTCAACTACCTCACAGGATTGTTGTGTGGACAAAAAGGAGACTGATGTAAACAGAAGAATGATGTAAGCCACTTCGGGACCCCACTGGGTGGAGAGAACCAGGGAGGACTGTGAGGCACTCTAGACATATCTGTAGGGGCTGGCCGAGTAGGCGTCAACATGGCAAATGAGGTTTAACGTGGGCAAGTGCCAAGTAGTGCACATTGGAGCCAAAAATCTTAACTATAACTATATATTGATGGGGTCCGAACTGGTGGTAAGTGACCACGAGAGAGATCTTGGGCGGCAATCACACACACTAAATAATCCACTTTTACTCCACTTTCATTTCACTTTCAAATTGGATTTTGCCAGTTCACACAGTAAAATCGTGTTGGAAAGTGGATTGAAAGTGGATTATTTAGTGTGTCATGGTAGAAGTCATGGTAGATAACTCACTGAAGATGTCGACTCAGTGTGTGACTACAATAAAAATGACAAATGCTATCCTGAGGATTATTAGGAAGGGAATCCAAAACAAATCAGCCAGTATCATAATGCCTCTGTATAAATCAATGGTACGGCCTCATTTGGAATACTGTGAACAGTTCTGATCGCCATATCTCAAAAAAGATGCCTGAGCATTGGAAACAGTGTGGAAAAGGGCATCTAAAATGATTAAGGTGACGGAACACCTTCCCTATGAAGAAAGGTTTAAAAGGTTGGGGCTCTTCAGCTTGGAGAAACAATTATTGAGAGGTGACAGGATAGAGGTTTACAAAATTATGCATGGAATAGAGCAAGTAAAAAAAGAAGTACTTTTCTCTCTTTCTCAAGATACAAGAACTGGTGGCCATCCAATGAAATTAATGAGCAGTAGGCTTAGAATAGATAAAAGGAAGTACTTCTTCACACAAAGAGTAATTAACACGTGGAATTCACTGCAGCTACAAGCACAGACAGCTTCAAGAGGAGATTGGATAAATATATGGATCAGAGGTCCATCAGTAGCTATTAGCCACAATATATAGATGGAAAACTATGTTTGGGGCAGTAATGCTGTGTATTCTTGGTGCTTGGGGAGGCCACAGTGGGAGGGCTTCTGGAGTTCTGGCCCCACTGATGGACCTCTTGATGGCACCTGGTATTTCTGGCCACTGTGTGACACAGAGGGTGCGTTCAGATGGGGCGTTTCAGCCGGCATAAACTGTACCGGTTGGAACCGGTGCAGTTTATGCTGGCTGAAACGCGATCACACTCACCTCCTGTCTGCAGATCCCATCGCTGTATGCCCGTCCACACACAGTGGGCATCGGCGTTTTGGGGTTTTTTTTTAAACTCAGTTTGAGCATGCGCATAGGCAGCCATCCACAGAATGGCGATCTTCACGCATGCGCAAAAAACCCTATCTTACATTTAAACTTTAAAGGTAAGGACTTACCTTTAAAGTTTAAAGAGCAAAGTAGCCTCCCTGAGGTCCCGGAGGCCTCCGAAACGCTAAACTAAGGCCCTTTTCTTTTCTTTTTTAAACAAACGCCAGGGCGAAGCTTCGCCCAAGCGCATATCGCCGACCTTTAAAAAAAAATGGCCGGCGAAAATCGGAAGCCTCAGGCTTCCGAACAGAAGTGGCTCTGCAACGGTGGAGAGCGATCAGACGGGGGGGTTCTGCACTAGCTGTAGCTTCCGAATCCATGACAAAGGCAGCCCCATGTAGAGAGTGTTACAGTAGTCTAGTCTCGAGGTGACCATCGCATGGATCACTGTAGCCAAGTCAGGACAGTTGAGGAAGGGAACCAGCTGCCTAATCAACCTAAGATGATAAAAGGCCGACTTAAAGGTAGAATATAAAGAAAATAGTAATACTTTAATAATCAGATCTTAGTATGGCTTAGGCTACTAACACTGCCTAGCTCTCACCATGGGAGTTTGTAGCTTATGCCTTTTTCAGATTGGGGTCACTCAGAAAGTAAAAAGTGGCTGAAACAACAAGAAGCCAGGAGGTGAATAAGCAGTGCCTTTTCTTCTGCTTCCTTCCCAGGAAGAAATTACAGTTCCACCAAACTCTCAGAACACATTTTGCTATACAGCACTGTACATCTGAGAAGAGGTACTACAGGGCTTTGGAAAGAAAGCATTTTAAGAGCTCTTGATTATTAATTCTCCTTCACCACTTTCTCATACTTTAACGGAACCAAAGAATAGCTGACACATACTCCTTTGGTGCTGGCAAAAAACATTCTCAACATTTTCCTCCATGCCAGGGAAAGGTTAACTTGCTGAAATTCTACCTGATATACAATTGTTCCCCTGTTAAGGGTAGGAAATTCTACCAAGTGCTGCACTTAATAAATTAAGGTGTTAAATATCAATTCTCAACCAAATACAAAGCTATAGTCCAAAAGCAAATTAGCTCTTTCTACTTACAAAACTTTAATTTTCCTATCCCTGGTTAGGTTGATATACTTTCCCAGAGACAACAAGATTATAAAGAAACTTGTATGATATTTTCTAAGCTATAATCTTTAGAATTCCCCTGCAGGGGGGAAAAAAAGCTACAGTACAGCTATATTTGTACTGTTACAATCACAGGCCAAGCCCTGCTTAAGGGATATGTTTCAACAGCACACACACAAGCCAAGGTGTACTAAAATTATCACATTTAAAAATAGACAGA